TACTGTATATACCTAATGCATATGAAAGTACATGCATTTTGCAAAGAAAGTACATGAATTCCTATTGTTTCATTTTTGGAAATGTTGCCTTATAGTCACCAAAAAGGTTAAGTTATCATGGAACAATGATGATAAAGAGATTAGTAGTCATTTTCTTACAGCTCTGATATATAGATATATATTTTTAATTTTATTGGAGAAACCTGGGCCCATATAAATAACAAACATGGAATCTATACAGATAGGTAGCAAGACTTCAGGCTGATGGTCTGACATTTACCAGTGTGGAAATAGTAAAGTTAAAAACTCCACTGACTTAGAAAGATGGTATTTTCTTAAGGATGTATTGCTGAACACATGGCCACCTACCTGCTCTCAAAAGCAATATGTGTAATTTAATCACCAAATATAGAACAGATGAATACCAGGAGACAAAAAAAGCATTAAAGCCCATTACAATCTTGAATAAGCCAGAGCTTCAAGTACGTAGGAAAAGTATTGCAATCATGTATTATGCTTGATTTTCTAATATATAGCATAATTTAAAACTATATAAAGTCACTTATATAAAAGCAATTTTTTCAAATGTAATAGCTTAAAGCATGGCTTTATATTTGGCTTAATCATTTTTTTTAACCAGTTTAATTTATAAAGCTCGCAATCTTGCCAGTAGGGCTTCAACTTCAGGAGCCAACTCGCTTTTAGAACCAGAGCCAGGAAGTTCCATTTCCTTTTTTCTGTTGCTTTCCATATTACAGGCTTCCTTCTTCTCCACCGCCTTGATCCTCCCTGTAGATGTGTGAGTGTCTAGATTGTAATTAAGCTCCTTGGCGGCTGGAGTCCTTGTGGAATTGCAATTGATATTGTAGTGAGAACGTGAGCTTTCTGTCAATGGCACTTTCTGATTTTCTACAGTAAGGAAGAAAGAAACATAAAACTGTCACTGTGATAACCAAGGACTGGTCACATTATAAAACACATAAAACAAAATTATTCTCAATAAACAAGTCCTTTTAGAGAGACTAAAATGAAAATATCCAATAGAAAGATATATTAAAAAATAAACATACAGAAGTTTAGAATAAAATATAATACAAAACCATTTTATTATCACTAATACTTATTTCCTTCTGCCTCTGCCAAAACACCTGTCAGTAGGTTATTATCAGGGATTGGTCCCATATTTCATTCAGGATTTGAATCAAGCACCAATTAAGTGGAGAGTCTTCCCCAACTACTCATCTAAAATGGCTTTTCCCCTCTTACCTTCTCCTTCTTGGAACCCATGACCACCACACACACCATATATCTGTTTACCTGTCCGTTGTGTATCTCTCCACTAGAATGTGTGCTGAGACAGAAGGAACATTATTTTAGATCTTGCTACAGATTCAGTGTCTAGGATGGCTCTGATGCAAAGCCAGTAGACAATTGGTATGTGCTGGCTAAAAAACTGCTGGTTCCATTATGACCCGTGAGAAGCACTAGTTTGAATAACAATATGATTAATTTTCTTTGCGAACAAAACCGAAGAAGAAAGTTTTTAATAAGAATTTTAAGTCAATACATTTCCTTAAATGAAATAATGAATTTGGCAGGCAAACTGTTAACAACTTCTTAGCAAACCAGCATTATGGCATCATATAACTGTGAAGTACATACATGCAGATGTGCACACACATACATGCCTACTACAAGCAATGGTATCCTGATTCACCAGGGTAGTGATGAGAGAACTGTGGTGGCTAATGATTAAATGGCTCTGGTTGACTGACTGCCCCAAACAGACCTAGATTTTCTTTTTAATTAGCTGACTTTCACATCGCACAACCTTCTGAATGATCTCTCTCTTAAGATCTCAAACTTTAAAAGTACAAATAGCCTCAATATTCATGTAACCTTGAACAGGGCTTGAAATGGCTTCAACAAACTTGACATGGCATTTAAAGTTTTTTGGTTATTCGCTGAGAGATGTTCCATTATCCCAATAGTAATGACTTTGGAGCACAAGCAGTCACTCATGACAGTGTGTTTTATGTGAGTGCTGAAAATTCCAACTGAAAACAGCTTGTACATTAAAAGGTGGCTGCTGAAGATATTTACTGCACTGTCATTTCCTGACCAGGGGCTTCCAGTGATGGATGAGCATTTTACACAGTTTCTTGGACAATCTCAACAAATTTTAGAAGTATGATCACCTTTTAGCTGTTGGAAGAAAATAAATACACTTTTCTTATCACTTTCTCTATCAGGTAGGCAATTGTTACTCAAAAATCAAAAACTAATAGAGCAGTGATTTTCTCTTAGGGCAGTTTATGTCCTGTAGCTTATAACACACATATCACACTTACAGGAAAGAGCACACGGACATGGTGGTTCTGCAGTTCCCATGACCACATAATTTAATTTTTCCTAGCACCCACCTTCCTGATGCAAAGTGTCTGAAAAGTGCATTTGTAGCTAAGTGCAGATTTTCAGGCAGTTTACTGCTCTCTTCCCAACAGTTCCTAATGCTTTTGGTCATTTGATTTCTTGTAAACATCTCCATCATGATCTCTTCAACAAACCAGTTTGTTTTGCAACTGGGCAACTACAGTTAAATGTTTGATTGCAGAGAAGAAGTTGGCTAAAATATGGATCTGGGATATGAAAAGTATGTATAATATCTCGGAACTTCTATGGTTATACACTATCAAGTCCAATTCCATATGTGGCAAAGTGAAAAACACATGGGATTTTAAGGCACACCTGGGATAAAATCCCAGGTATAACAGGTAACTCAACCCCTTCAAGTCTCAGCTTCTAATAATGAACCTCAAAGAATAGCTGTGAGGATTAAAGGAAATAATGTGGGTGGCAGCTATATGGCATTACCTTACCCTTCCTTCCTTTCCCTTTCAAAGCTTTCTACAGGAGGCATCTCCATTCAAGACTTGGGGCTCATAGGTTCTGACCTTTCTGACTGTACCAGTGAGGGAAAATACCGCCCTATGAGCTTACATTTACATAGCACCTTTGTTTATAAAGCATTTGTTAGACTTTAAACATTACCTCGTGTCAGAGACTGAGACATAAAAGCAAAAGGAGGCTAAGTCACTTGCTTAGATTCAGTTACTAAGTAATTCAGTGGCAGAAGCCAGATGCTGTCTCTAGAGATACTGGGACTGTCTTAAAAAAATCTGAAAAGCTTTTTGCCAAAGAAAAGCACTAAGCGACTCAGAGCTAAGTTTCACAGTAATGATGTCCCGTACTTAAAAAAATACTTTCTGGCATACAAATCCTCGCCATAGCATTGTAAGGCAGATAACATACTTACGTCAAGTACCTTACCACAGCATGTCCTCCTCTAATATTCTTGTCTCACTTAAATTGATAACGATGAGTTTTAGACAATGATTTCGCACTTTTTCCTCTTTTAAAACTTGCAGCATGTCCTCCACACTCTCATTCCCTCAAACAATCCAAAGAGTATTCATTCCCACAATCAGCTCTCCTAACATCTGTTATCTACCTACTGTACACACGCACAATCCTTCCCTCCGAATAGAATGTCTCAGTCTCTGAGCTCTGCTCTGCTCTGAGGACAACCCTGAGATGGTACTCTCACTTCTCTATTCTAAGTCATCCTTCTGGCAGCTGGGCCCTCCCTACTGCACTGTAGGTTTCCTTTCCATACGATCATTCCCCTCAGCATACTAGTTTGTTGTGATGACCCCAAACTTTAGAGAAAAAAAAGCCTGTATTTGTCTCCTGCTTTATCCTGCTGCAACTACAACCTCAACTCTTGAAAAACATCTTCAAAGAATTGACCACGGTTACTGCATCAATTCTTCTCTTCCCATTTTTCTTTGCTAATCATGCTTTTGTCCTTTTACTCTTCTCAAATAGCTCTTGTTAAGATCACTAATAAACTGTGTTGCCAAAAGCAAGGATTATGTATTCATGTGTACATCTTTAGTCTTTCTTTACTAGATCTGTACCAGACCCAAAGGTGAAATGCCCAGCATAGCATGGGCTTTTTGTATTTATTTGGTCTTTAAAATTCTTTGGAGGTTTAGGTGAATATCAATGAATGAGCCAAGGCAAGTAAGACCACTTCTACTTCTTGAGAGTCTCAAAATAGATATGGGCTTGCTTTAGGGACAAAATGATGAGAGAATAAGATAGTATTTGAACTGCTCTTTGGTTTTAGGTGGAGAATCTTTTATGAGAAGCAACAAATAAGATAGTATAAAAAGAAAGAGACCATTCCTGAGACCAAGAAATACAAAAGACAGTGCACAAGACCTTTTTAAAGGATGAACTTATAGCCCATTAGAAGTTCCAAGATAACTTTTTACTTGCAGGACTCATATTTACCTCTTAGCAACCCAGCAGCCCCCATCCTGGTCCTCAGTTTCTTTTTGCTTTGTACTTAGCTATGGCAGACCAAAATTGTGGAATTGAGGGAGTCACTTCTTAAACTGTAAATTATAAAATTGGGTTGGAAGAGTCAGATATTCCACTGCAACTAGACAAAATGATTACTGGTAGAAAAACCTCCCAAATTGAAATTCACTTTTATGTCAAATTCTCATTGCAATGTTGGTTCAAAGCCAGACATCTTTTGTCATTTCTGTTATTTTAAAAGGCTGTTAATGGTGGCTTCATGTGGGCTGAACTGGAGATGCAAAACATATTCTTAATTTCTCAATGTTTGACTTCTAAACAACAAAGTGAGGACAACCTTGTAAATTAGAGGGAAATGTATATAGGTCTTCAGTCATAAATTCTAATTTGATGTAGGTGGGCTCCTCCTTTGCATATGAAATTAGACAGCTATAAATACAGGATGATTCACATGATCATATGGATTCAATGAAGGGCAAAGCTAGGGTGTCAATAAGAAGAAAAGCATTTCTACTTCTCAACACAAATCCTTGCCAACACAAATTTAAAACTTGGGAACTAAATATATTAAGGTAAAGTAGGATGATTGCTTAATTCTCCAAAGGGAGTACATTTGTACTATTTTATGAATCAAATCCCAGACTTTTTATTTTTTCCTTTAAGATATTATAACAGTTGATGTTTGTGTATAATATGTCCAGGATTCTTGCCAATTTCCAGGGCCACTGGTGACTATAGGACAGACAGGCAAAGAACCAGATGCTATTCTTAGTGCCAAATCAGTAAGGGAATCCAATCCCTACATCTTGTATTTGTATTTCTGTGGAAATAAACAGGATGAGAATATGTGCTATTTTCCTTTAAGATAGATGCACTTATTTCAATTTAATTCCCCACATGATTCACACTCTAAGGAATTTATCTGCAGCCCCACCATAGACTTTCTTCCTCCTGAAATTGAATGAAAAGTTATACTCTTGGAAAGTTGGACAGCTCTTAAAAACAGAGACGCCACTGGACTTAATAAAAGTTCATGCTATGAACTACATCCAGTGCTGGGTCCCACATGACCTTTGGCAGAGTTCAGATTTGGATGATAAAGAAAGCTCAAGAAAACTCCACCATCCTGCACTCACATTTCCATTGTTTCTTGAGTAAGACAGGAATCTAGGAAAAATGAGGACAAAAAGTAAATATAAATATATGTAATTTGGCATCTAAATGAGGAAATACCTCAGCCAATAGTTGGTATACTTCTTCAGCTAAGAAAGCAAGGCGAAGGCCCTGGCTGATGGCCCTTGGGGGAACCCTCTCCACTGCAGGAAATATCCGTTACGGTTCAGAAAGAGGCATTCTTCCCTTGAAGTCAGTATTGATCCCCCATCACATTGTGGTTCTAATAGGCACTGGCTTCTTAGAAGTGCCAACTCTCAGATGAAAAATAAAATAGAGCTCCTGCCTTTTGTGGTCAATGGAGAGTCTGTGGCAGCCTTGACAGGAGGAAGAATATAGAAATCAGT